AGAAACAGATGAAAATTCTGAGACCTCAAACTTCAGAAGAAGGGGTAGAGAAATGGATTGAGTGCTTAATGTGAGAAGCTAAGTGGGGACAGCAAGAGAGGGAGACTGACTGATAAATAGTAGGCAAGACACAGTGCAGACATCTTGAAATTTTGTGACCAGTTTTGACAACAGAAAGTGGCCTGGCAGAGCAGAGTCACACAGGTGACTGGAAAAATGCAATTCCTTTTTATTCCCCAAGCTCCCCGGTGAGCAGAGGCGTGGACTGCTCCCACCCTCACCTATCCCAGGCACAGTCTCTACTCTTTGGGAGTTTGGAGCCAAGTTGGGAGCAATGCCAGTGTGAGGCGGGGGCTGGCTGTGCTGCTTTGGTGCCTGGATTCAGGTCAAGTGCCGTGGTCTCTGGTATAACTAGGTACACAATTATTGTGGTGGTGGTTGTTAAGTACTGTCGAGATGGTTCTGACCCATAGCGACCCTGTATTAGGTTTCTAAGGAGCAGCTGGTGGGCTTGAACCACCAACCTCGCAGTTCAAACAGCTTGGCAGTCTCGCGCATTTACCCACAGCACCACACCAGGTACACAATACGTGGTGCTATTACGTGCTATATGAGATAAAAAAAAAAAAACCCGAGTCATTTAATTATGAATTTTCAAACCCAAAGGATTGTACAACACAAATTATGAACTCTAAAGTAAATCAGGGACTATAGTTAATAATACTGCATCTGTATTGGTTAGTCAATTTTATCACATGTACCACAGGAATGCAAGATGTCAATAATGACAGAAACAGTATGCGGGGTGGTGGTGGTGGTGGTGGGTACGGATATAGGGGAACTCTGTACTTTCGGTATAATTTTTCTGTATATCTAAAACTGCTCTAAAAAGTATTAAGAAAAAGTGAATCTTGTAACAGGTCACTGGGAGATAATGTCTACTTACTGTATTCTTACACAAATAACTTGTGCGATACACTTTTTTTTTTTTTTTTTTTGCCAATCATGCTTTCCCGCCTCAAGGTATTTTCATGTTATTGTGAAGCGCCATTGAGTCGGTTCCGACTCACAGCAACCCTGTATAGTGTTTCAGAGGAGAAACTGGTGAGCTTGAACCGCCGACCTTGCAGTTCAAATAGCTTTGCAGTCTGGTGCATTAACCCACAGCGCCACACCAGTACTCCATGGTATTTTCATAACTGAACTAATTTTTCTTTTTTTAACTGAAGCCTGTAAATGTATTATTTTTTTTACAAAAGTACCTCAAGAGGGGATAGTGTGTGTTATTTACATAAAAATATGGTAATCAGGCTGATTGGCTAACCAGAGTTAAAGGTTTAATATCCGAATGACCATATCCATTTCCCCTCTATTTATAATACCCTGAAGGAGCTCTGGTAGCATAGTGGTTACGAATTGGGCTGCTCACCTCAAGGTCAGCAGTTCGAAACTACCAGCTGTTCTGTGGGAGAAAGATGAGGTTTTCTGCTCCCATAAAGATTTACAGCCTTGGAAACCCTGTGCAGGGTCGCTATGAGTCAGAACTGACTCCATGGTACTTAACAACTATATAATACCCTGACGTCAAAGAAGAATTGTGGTATTTATTGACTCCAACTAATTTAATCATGCCCAATCAGCTTGTACAAATTCACACTTGTTCAAATACTTTCAAATAATCACTTTAGCTGGCCCCAGCTCAACTACAAGGTTTAAGAAGTCATTTGAGTAAAGTTTGCTGAAATACAGCTCCTTTGCCAAACACATAGACCTCAATTTTAGATTTTCAGAGTGGGAGACTGCTTCTTCAACCACTGCTGATTTTTCAGCCTGTTTTTACTTGAATCATATAATAACCATTACTGGAGTCATAATCAATAGCTGGTATATACAGGGCTGGATCTGATGGCAGGTGCAGTTACCCACCAACCCAGGCCCTGTACCCCTGTAGTTACTGTTTATGAAATGACTAGCGTCTGCCAGTCAACACCGGGTTACGCAATGTCACGAGCTACCATTTCCCACTCAAGGCAGGCAGGGATGGACAAACACTTGGTTCTTGGCAGAGCAGGTACCTTTAGATAGTTAAGTAGAAAATGTTTCAGCCTGTGAAAGAGCTGTGAGGAAGAGAGATGGGTCAAGTGGTCATGAGTTTGTTTGGCACCTAAACAGAACCACATGAAAGAGACTGAATTTAGGAGAAAGGCAAGATTTTAACAGGTCAGTTTTCTCTAATCATATCACCAATTTTTTAGGCTGAAAAACAAGGAATGGGCCTACAGAAATACTGCAGAATACTTAACCTGTTTGACCTTATTCAAGTAGTTGCAGCCATTGGTCAAGAAGGGAGAGGTGTTTCACAGAGAAATGTCTAGTTTCAAAGATGGGTACTTGTGTCGCATTGCTCTTTAGCCTCATGAGGTTAAGTGCAGTATACTGGAAAAGCTGAACTTTCGTTCTACCATTAACAATGTAGCTTTGACCTTGAGTGATTTACTTGATTGCTGCAGTCACTTTACAAAGTTGACAGGGATAATCTGTCCTTCAATTTTCATAGGGTATTGGTGGGGATAAATGATATGGTGTGCAAAATACCCAAGAGGGATGGCCTAATGGAGGTACCTAACATTTAGTGTATTTTTTGCTTTCATTCTGCAATTCACTTTTAAAATTTCTAAACCCTTCAATAAAAGCTAAAAGATGAATATTGTTGTTGTTGTTGTTAAGTGCCGTCGAGTCGGTTCCGACCCATAGCGACCCTGAACAGGGTTTCCGAGGCTGTAAATCTTTAAGGGAGCAGAACGCCTCATCTTTCTCCCGCGGAGCCGCTGGTAGTTTTGAACTGCTGGCCTTGAGGTTCGCAGCCCGATTCGTAACCACTACGCTACCAAAGATGAATATAGAAAACATTAATTTCCATATAGAAATATAGAATATACAAATGTTATCACTTAATGAACTCTTAATAAGGTAAGTACCCTTGTATTTGGGTCAAGCAATAGAACTTTTATCAACCATCCCCAAATCCTTCTTCCTCCACAAAGTAACTGTATCTGAGAGTGCTTATCAAGGTCTTAGAAGGAAGCTTTGTCCAGTTTTTATAAAATTTCATGTCTTTTAACGTAGTTTCCTCCTCCATCCCTTTCTTTTTATAAATCATCTGTTAAGCAGCCACTGATATTCAGAGTACACCCATTACTCATTTGGGGTCATAAAATGGTAGTATTCCATTAACATTATTAGAGAATTAAAACATTATATAGAGGATCCCCCTAATCTCTGTGGTTACCCAATAATACAGTTCACATTACAGGAACAATACCAATTCTTTTCCTAGAAACTTTTCAAAATGAGTTGGTTCTCCAATATCCTGAAGGTAATTAATTAAAAATTGTCATTATAAATTCATGAATCATGAGGGCTGCAAAAAGTTTGTAGAAAAATTCCATTATCTTTTAACGTCATCTCTCCACGTATTTTCTGAAGCTCCCTTGTATATGTATGTATGGCTTGTTAGCGGTCAATTCTGACTCATGGCAACTGCATGTAGAGTCTACTTGCTCCACAGTTCCAATTTTCAAGGCTGTGATCTTTCCTAAAATCACCAGAGCTATCTGCTGAAGTGCCTCTGGGTGGATTTAAGTCAGCAACTTGCCAGTTAGTAGTTGAGTGCTGGGTGTGTGCAATTAGATAAGCAATGGACTGCTAATAGCAAGGTCAGCGGTTCAAATCCTCCAGGCACTCCTTTGTGAAACAGGGTTGCTAAGAGTTGTAACAGACTGCACAGCACTTGAATGCTTAACGTTTTACAACACCTAGGGATTCCTACGTTTGTGCAGGTAGGTATTCTTAATAGAAATACCACACACCTGGATCAGTACTTTAGGTTTTTTCTTCTGTATCCATGAATATGATGTATATAAAAGCTTTCTGTGTATGTTGATGGAGATTAATTTTTTGCTATTGCAAACAAAGCTGTGGAGATTATCTTTCTTATATATTCCTTATATATGTTATTTGTAGGATAAATTCCTAGAAGTTGTGTTGCAGCTAAAAGGGAATATACCAATTACATTCTTATGAAATGTACGAGTGATGAGACATCCTTTTAAAAAAATACTTTGTGCTTGAGTATACAATGGGTCAGAGTCAGGCTTGAATTTTAATAGCCATAGATAGATGGGGGCAAGTTATGGTGAGGGAAGCAATTGGAGTTACGAATATATTGCAGCTTTACTCACTACCCACCTATTGCCACAGAGTTGATTCCAAATCAGAGTGACCTTATGTAGGATTTCTGAGGATGTCAATCTTTCTGGGAGCACAAAGCTTCCTCTTTCTCCTACGGAGTGGCTGGTGGATCTGAACTGCTGACTTTGTGGCTAGCAGCCCGAAGTGTAATCCACTGTGCCACAGGGCTCCTTTGCAACCCTATATAGTAAGCACTAATTCAAAGGGGTATTCAACAAAGAAAGGCGTAGATGAAAGAAAACAAAATTCTGGCACTGGCAGTTGTGGTAATATGGAAAGAACACTGATTTTGATGGCACGTTATCAGGTTCACAGACATTATCTTACTCAAATTTCACAGTAGCCAGGGGAATTAATTCTTTTTTTACAGATAAGGCAGTAGAGGATATGGGGATAGAATATCTGTTTGGTAGGATTATGAAACATTGTACCATAGTTAAAAATGATATAACGTGACATCGTCTATTTAGAGTGTGAGCTTCTTGAGGGCATAGCTATGTGAAACCTAGCACAGTGCTAGGTAAACACCCTGGAACTCAATAACCGATTTGCAGAATATTTTAAATTAAAGACAGAATCTTAACACAGAGTTTGCCACATAATCTGTGCTCAATAAATACATTTATTCTTCAAGGACCAGCAGGTGGAAACCAAGTCTGATTGGCCAAAATACCACAGAGGATTCAGGAACTTTTGGAATAGTCAGTCAGTCACAGAGATGGCCTCAGTAATTGGACTCAGGTGGTATTTTATGAAAACAATTCCGGTGACCAAGCACTATTAGTTTCAGGTGATGAAGATGGCCAATTTTTTGAAAATGGAAGGCAACATTCTGAACATGAACCATGTTCAAAAACTGACTCTCTGGAAATCCAGCCTGAATGTTCACAATTATATTCAGAAGTTTTCTGTTTTTTAACTACTGTTAAAAGCTTATTATTTAAATTTAACTCCTTAATTAGGCATTTATCCATTCTCTGTTTAACATGTTTCAGTTTCTTTCTTGGTAACTCTTTTAGATCAGGGGAATTACAGGCAGCAGGGCACTTTCTTAGACCCATGGTTCGTAATTGACGGTTCTTTGAAAGAAATTCTTTTTTTGTGGTAGGAGGAACCCATTCATCAATATCAGTCTCAAGGCACTCAGTAAAAGGCCAGCGGGTGAGAATCACTGGCTGTGTACCGCTAGATATAACAGAGCTTCTGCATGTCTGGACTTTTGCTGTTTTAGTTTTTGGACCATTTGGGGTAGCTTGCTGTGTGTGACTTTCAGAAGGAATCCTTGTCTTTCTAGAATTAATATCAAGATCTGAATAAAAGGCAGGCAATTTTTCGAAAGCTGTTTTTATCCCATGAATTCTTGCTTGGTAGAATCTTGAAACTGGAGTTGATTGTGAATATGGAACAAAGTCTTCGCTATCTTCAAATTCATATTCTGAATCTGACTGAAAGTGAAGCGAAGAACATGTTTTTGGACACACAGGGGCAGATACATTTTGCAAGGCTAATTTTTGTGAAATCTGGCTTGAGTTTTCAGAAAGTAATCTCAGTGAAAAATCAGATTCTGCATGATGGCTTTCTACCAAAGACTTTTCCCACTGCAAGAGAACATCCTGTGATTTTTTGGTAATTTCTGTTGTAATGTCCATTTCTTTACCACTAACATCAAAGAGATCAGCAGAAGCATTATAGCTACATTCATGGCAAGGAGAATAACTCTGTTTTACGTTATTATTGATAGGTCCATGAGGCATTTCTTTCAATGTGCTTGTACTTGTATTTGTACTATTGCAAAAAGATTCTAAAGGATAGGTAAGTTGCCTGCAAATTGTAAAACTGTCATCTGGGTACTCTGGCCACCTATCATACTGCTTCTTTTCCAAGCTGCAAACATCTAAAGCATCACTACACTTTGTAGAGCACAAAGTTGTCAAGTTTTTACTCATTTCTAAAAGTGATTTTTCTCTATTAGTATATTTGATATTAAAAAAAGAAATGTCATTCTCTGAAGTATTGGACCAGGGTAAAATTTCGGCCCTTTTTGGTTGGATTCTGGTTGTCTTCTTATGAGTAGTAACTGTTGTTTCTAAATCTTTTGTAGATCGAATTAGAGCTGACAGGTAAGTATTTGGTAAAACATAATCAGAACTCTGTCTCCTATTAGCACTTACAGAGGTAGTCTCTGCTATGTGATCTGGTTGTGATTCCTTTTGAGGATTTGGACTTGGATTAGCTTCAAACTTGGAAAGGAAGTTATCTTTGTTAGCCTTTGCTTTGACTGTTGCTTGTGATGATCTCAAAGCTATAGGTGGTTTATGCAGGGCTCCAGTAGTTTTTTGGGGAGTCACAGATAACCTGATGTGGTCTGTATGTAATTTATCAATGTCAGTGTCTAGATAATGTTTCCTGCTACGGGCATCTGTTGGGGTTTTAGCAACATCACTTTCAATAGCTGCCAGAAACTTGTTCAGGCTTTCAGAGAATGGCAGATCATCCCATATCTCAGGGCCACAATCCTGGGAACCACCAGCTATCTCTTCAAGTTTGAGTGATGAAGGTGAACAACACGCGGCTCTCTCTTGGAGACTAGAAGGGGTATCTGGATCATGATGCTGGTGACCTGTTAGCTCAGGTTGGGAATACTCATTTTTCAATTCTATTGCACCGTGGAAGGACTTTGCATTATGTGGCTCAAGGGGCTCTTGCACTTTCAAAGGGAATAAATTAGAGTCAGCAACACCAGTTTCATGATGATTGCTGCAAACTGCACTCAGGTGAGTCGCTTGTAAGTCAAGTTCTTCACCCAACTTTTCTGCTTTACTCTTTTTATCCATATATGAAAGAAGACTCCATGAATTCTGGATGGGATCATGGTAGCTACTGGAACCAGTGATCTCTGCAAAGGACATACGCTTTCTGTTCTGGTGAAGAGCACCAATGGCTCTTTGTTCTGAAGCTGGAAAATCATCATCATCATCTGTTAGTTGAGAAACAATGGAAGTCAGTTCAAGTGATGACTTCCAGAATCTTGAAAAATGAACTCCACCACGTGACTCAAAAAAACAAGAACTGCTATCAGAACCATATAGGTTGCTGAGCTCGCTAGTTGAGAGACCTAAAGCAAGTATGTCGCTATCTGCCTGGGTGCCATGGTGAAACTCCTTTAAGTTGGATGGCTTCAAAAGCTGATGGAAGTAGTCAATGACAGTGAAGCCTGCAACACTTGGATCTGGCAGAACAATCTGGGAAGCTACCAGCGCTTTAACTTCTCTCTTGCGGTCAGGACACTGCTGGAAGAACTTCCTGGAATCTGAACCTGGGTTTTCAAAATTCTGTGCAAGAAAGAAATACATTTAAATGAGAACAAAAACATGACTAACATGTGTAACAGGAATGGTAAGATTAAAGAACAACTATTAATGTCTATTACCACCACCACCCTCCCTAATTTCAATTCCTTAGTATTAGAGGCAAGGAGTCTTGGTGGCACAATAGTTAAGCACTCAGCTGCGAACTGAAATGTTGGCAGTAACTATGTATAGGGTTTCCGAAGCTTTAAATCTTTGTGGGAGCAGAAAGCTTCATCTTTTTCCAGTGGAGCAGCTGACATGCTGAAACCGTGGACCTTGTCTTTCTCAGTCCATGGCTTACTGTATGGAGCCACTGTGCGCCCATTGTTATGTGCCGTGGAGTCGGTTCTGACCCATAGTGACCCGTACAGGGTTTCCGAGGCTGTAAATCTTTATGGGAGCAGAAAGCCTCATCTTTCTCCTGTGGAACAGCTGGTAGTTTCAAACTGCTGACCTTGTGGTTCACAGTCTGATTCGTAACCACTTCGCTACCAGAGCTTTAGAAAAACCTATGTGGCAATTCTAGTCTGCCCTATGGGTTAAAATTGACTTGAGGACACATAGCAACAACAGTGTAAGAAGCAGAGTAGTATGTATGAGTAAGAGAATACAAACCTTAGAATAAAGTGACTATATTCAAATCCCGGTTTTAGAATTTACTAGTCTTTAAAGAAGTTATTTAACTTCTCTGAGCCTTAGTTTTCCCATTTGTAAACTGAAGATGAAAATGCAGACTTCTAGTCTGGGTAATAGCATATGCAAACCTGCACAGTGTCTTGTTTCTGTAGAGATTTATAGACTGGAACCCTATGGAACTGTTCTGTACGGTCTCCATAAGATGTAGTCAGCATCATGGTAATGAGTTATTTTGAGGCTTATTATATTTTTTGATAGCTTCCAGAAACTTTTAGAGTTTTAAGGGAATGTCCATCCGTATTTATTTTTAAATAATCTTCTAAGTTTTAAAAAAACAAAGCCCTGAAGCTCTCAGCTTTATCTTCCTTTTGGTCTTTTCTCACTGTTCCGTTGTGGAGTCCTCTAGTTCCCTTTTAAAAACCTGTGTGGTCAAACATGTCATTTGTTCCTTTTAGGATAAATGACACACAAAATGATTATAGAAATATAAATAGCATAAATATATTCAGAATTCTAGATACCAGGTTTCTGATACCAAGATAATAAACCATACCCACCTCAAAGGGCTGATATAGCTTTGTAGTGTCTTTTATGGATAACTTTTATGCCTGCTCCCATAGATCTACACTAATTTATTTCTCCCACTGAGGCTTTGGCACCAGAGAACAGAATATAACATTTTCTATACCTTTTCAAGCAATAATGCCCCAAGACATCTATTGTAAATAATGAAGCAATTTTTTTCTGGTACATCTATGAGAGTATTACCTAAGTCCCATTCCTTGACAGAATTGAGAACAGTTCCTATAATCATTTTCTGTGTGAATTTTCTTTCAGAACCCTAGGTAAGAAAGGCTGATTTGATTTCATCTCTCTAGTTTGGCTTCAGTTGACTTCTGGGCAGGGGCAATTCTGCCATCTCAAGAGACATTAGCCACTAGAACCTTAAAGTGGCTCTATTAAAGGTCCACATTTGAACTTTTGGTTTTTTAATTACAGGATGTAATTTTTTCTAATATATAGATCTAAAATCACTTTCATGTGTTAAAGCATGTACACATTGTTCACTAGAGAGCTAGTGTTAAGGGTTTTAAATAATTTTTAACCAGGTATCAACTAGAAGCCCTGATTTTTCACCTTGGCTTTTGGCATTTACTAGCTATGTAACACATTAAAAAGAAAGCTAGTCTCACCGTCACTCCAAAAATAAAATTTTGTCCGACAAAGCAAGTTTCAACTGCTTTAGTTAATAGGTTCTGAGTTGTATCTCTGTCCAATGTTTTTGGAATTTCATTAGGATCTTCAATGTACCTTGATTGGAAACAAAATGAAGTAAAATAAATGAAAACATAAACTTTGAAAATTTAACCTGTCTTATTAGGACAATTCATTTAAAAATGTAGCATGAAGTTTTTGTATTGCATAGAGAAAAAAGTGATTTAAAAAGAGAAGTATTTTGTTCCCTCTAATTCCACAGAGCTCTGGTAGCATAGTGGTTACGAATCGGGCTGCTAACTTCAACGTCGGCAGTTCAAAACTACCAGTAGTTCCACGGGAGAAAGATGAGGCGGTCTGCTCCCATAAAGATTTACAACCTTGGAAAACCTCAATAGGGTCACTATGAGTTGGATCCGACTCCACAGTACTTAACAACAACAACAACAATTCCCCAGAGCCCACAAAAACAAAATTAATTGATCAAGACATCTGCCTAAAAATTAGACCCAGCAATTTAAATAGTCTACAGAAAAATAATAGTGGCATTGGTAATAGGGTAGGAGCTGTAGCCCTTCCCCTTAAAACTGAGGAAAGTTTCCCCTCTTCCCAGGCAATCCAGGCTGTGGTTCCTTGCATGTAATCTGTTTGTTCTGAAACAGAAGGACTTAGACATTGATTTTTGTCTCCCAAGTGATTATAGGATAAGGTAGATGACTAAAGGGGAGAAAAAGGTTCAATTTCTTATATATACACATATTCTCAGGTCATTTTAATAAGTCAAACTATACAAAAAAACTAAGGGAAAGAAATGACAAAATTTCAACTTCAGGTATGCAAACATTTTCTCAAATAACTTCTTCTGTCTCAAGACACTATAGCCACTTGAAAGCTAACCTCAATTTGGATAAACCTTTAGCCTGAAATGATTTTACTTTCTTTTTCCAACTTGGATTACAATTTTATAATTTAAGTCTTAATTACAGCTTATTTGTCCTGAATAAAAAGAATGTGTTTTCACATTATTATAATATATATTCAGGAAATAAAAATCTATCTCTCACTTCATTATAAGGAGCTCTGGTAGCGTAATGGTTACGAATCGGGCTGCTAACCTCAAGGGAGGCAATTTGAAACTACCAGCCATTCCATGGGAGAAAGATGAGGCTTTCTGCTCCCGTAAAGATTTTCAGCCTCTGAAAATGAGCCTGTGCAGGGTCACTATGTGTCGGAACCGACTTTATGGTACTTAACAACAACAACAACATTTCATTATCCTTAAAAGAACAATACATACCACCAAGTAACTGGTGATCTCAGGTCAATCGAGCATCTTTTAATGAAATGTCCATTATCTTAAAATCACACATCTTCATATTCTACGGACATACGAAAGGAAAGGTGGTGGTGGTTATGTGCCGTGGAGTTGGTTCCAACTCATAGTGACCCTGCAGAAAGTTTCGGAGGATGTAGATCTTTACGGGAACAGAAAGCCTCATCTTCCTCCTATGGAACGGCTGGAAGTTTCTAACTGCTGACCTTGAGGTTAGCAGCCTGACTCGGAATCACTACGCTACTGAGTCCCTTTGCTAAAAGAGTAGCTAGGATGAAAAAAGATGTTTTAAAATTCATACCTGTGTAAAGCAGTAGCAGTAAGACCAAAAAATGTATCTAAACAGCTCCCAAATACAGTAATACCAAATAATTTGTTTGATTCTGCAACTTTTAAGGAAAGTTTATATCTGTAACTGGCATTTTCAGCTTCACTAGTACAGCCACATTTTGGACAAGTAAACCTGGAAAAGTGAGCAAAAGAAAACAAAACAGAACAGAGATGCAGTCAAAATTTTTTCATATGATGAAAAACAACAACAAAACATTAAAATATATTATGTATGTTTGTACCTATGCAATTTACCTTTTTTTTTAAACAAATTTGGAATAGTATCTTTTGAATTCCTCTTTGTAACTACTGGCTCTACTGATTTAACTAAGTTGTTGTTAACTGCCACTGAGTTGGTTCCCACTCATAGAGACTCAGTAAAGGGTTTCTGAGGCCTTAAATTTTCGCAGGAGAGGAGAGGCTGGCAGGCTCAAACCGTGGACTTTGTGGTTCACAGTCCAGTGCTTATCCTATGGAGCCATAGCGCTATCCAATTTAAGTAGCACAGACCAGACTGCTTTAAATAACTGAAGGAAAACTGTGTAAGTGTGTGAAAGAAAGAACCATTATTGATGAATTGAGTTGTAATATGGTCTGGGATCAGAGGGCAAATTAAATGTACAAAGTGAGTACTACACGAAAACAGGTCTGTGCATCTTCTATTAAAAGTACATTAGTAATTGTAATCATGGCAATGAAACGATATATGATGGGATGAATGTAAAACTAATGTTCTCCCATGTAAACTATCACATAATTCACAATAAAACATTAAAAAAAAAAAAGTACATTAGTAGTGTAACAGGACTCCTGGCATGGCGCTGTTTGTTAATGCAGTGGACTACAAAGTCAGTTTCAACTACAAGGTTGGTGGTTCAAGCTCACCAGCCTCTCCTTGGAAACCCTATGCTGGGTGGCTATGAATCAGAACCAACTCGACAGCACTTAACAAGAACAAGTAGTGTAACCGTTGGAATCCGGGTGTGGTGCTGTGGGTTAACGCACTGGGTCAGTTTGAACCACAAGGTCAGCAGTTCAACCTCACCAGCTGCTCCTCGGAAACTCTATACAAGGTTGCTGTGGGTTGCTATTAGTCGGAATCCACTCAACAGCACTTAAGAACAACAGTGTAACAGTTAAGAACTCCATAGCTAATAACCAAGAGGTTGGTGATTTGATCCCACTAGCTGCTCTACTGGAGAAAGATGTGATAGTCAGCTTCCGTAAATATTAAGGCCTTGGAAAACCTATGGGGCAGTTCTATTCTGTTCTATAAGGTTGTTATGAGTCAGAATCAGCTCAGGATAATAGTTAACTTGTGATAATAGGATAATGAATAGTCTTGAAATATTTAATATTTATACTCAAAGTGCCTAACTGTACTTTTCTCACCATTATAAAACTCTACTCTCCATTTGTTTAACTCAGTGGAATGAATATGCTGAGAATTAGTCAGATTATAAAATATTGATACATAAACCAAGCAAATTTAACTTATTTTTAAGGCAATAAGTAATTATGGTCAAAATCTTTCTAATAAAAAAATACATGCCAACTCTATCTCAACTGTCATGCATTAGCTGTTTAATTTCTTAAGAACTGATTTCCTCATCTGTAAAATCCAGGGTTGATGAAAGATAAAAATGCGATAAAATAAAGATCTAGTCAAGATCTTATCAAATTAATAAGTGTTAGTCTACTTCCCACTCATAATTTTATTGATAGTGTGATGATTACTGCCACTTCTATTTTTTCTGTTTGCAATGTCTTATCAGTCTGATATCCATTTTTCATGTTCTTAGTTTAGCAAACTGATGTCACATGACATCTTTTTGTAGTAGGTAATATAATACAAGACTTTCTATTCTTCAACCTGTTACTAATGACCTAGTTTTAAAAAAGAATGGCAAAATACAAATGGAAAATAATATTTGAAACAGTTATATCTTATAAATTTGATTGCTGCTATTCAGTCACTAGAGGGAGCCTAAAGGCCCACAGTATCTAAGATGACTAGCTATTTTAAACAAAGGTTGGTCTGGTTTTTCATTTGAGATGCTACTGAATCAGCATAATTACATTTCTGCTAATTATTCATTTTTTTCCACATTGCAGGTAGATTAGTACTAATCCATTCATGTTTTAACTCACACTGGAAGAAGTATATGTTGGAGTCTGGCCTAGAATAAAGTGAGACACTTGACTCACTTAAGAATAAAAGCCTCATTAGTATTGGCTCTTGGGAAATTTAATAAACTAAGTGTTTAAATAAATACCAGAATGTCCTTAAAGGTTATGTAGTAAGGTCTAATATAAAATTTCTAGCAAATCTTAGTACTCAGTGTTTTGCAGTTTATAAATGTATTCTTTCACTTACATGATTTCATTCCTCCACCCCACCCCATAACACTACTGAACAGGTAAAAAAGACAGCTATCACAATTATTACAAAATTGGATAAAGTTTTTGTCCAAGATGACAAACCTAGTGATTTTATGACCCCAATCTAAGGCTTTGGACTCCTGCTGTTACTGTGTACTATGGAGTCATTTCTGACTCTCAGTGATCCTGTGTAATAGGGCTTTTGAGAGTGGCTGGGTGGCTTTGAATTGATGATCTTGTATTTACCAGTCCAATGCGTATAGTCTGCTATTCCAGGGTTCCTAGTCTGGAATTATTTCCTATGTAACTTTCATGATACCTACAAGAATTAAAAGGGAGCTCTGGTAGCATGTTGTTGTTGTTGCTATGTGTCGTGGAGTCGGTTCCGACTCATAGCGACCCTGTACAGGGTTTCCAAGGCTGTAAATCTTTACGGGAGCAGAAAGCCTTATCTTTCTCCCGCGGAACAGCTAGTAGTTTCGAACTGCTGTCCCTGAGATTTGCAGCCCGATTCGTAACCACTACGCTACTGGTTACAAATTGGGCTGCTAACCTTAAGGTCAGCAGTTCGAAACTGCCAGCAGTACCGCGAGAGAAAAATGAGGCTTTCTGCTCCCATAAAGATTTACAGCCTCAGAAACCCTATACAGGGCCACTAAGGGCCGGAACCCACTCAATGGCACTTAACAACAACAACAACAACAACATAGTGATTATGACTATCTATAGCAATCCGATTGCTTAGGTTCGAATGTCTCTGCTACTCACTGTGTGATTACTTTTCTATGCTCAGTTACCGTCTTTGAAGGCTGGTCTAACTAGAGTATTCATCTCATGAGAGTGATTATATTAAAAGATCTAACACCATCTGCTGACATCAAATGGGTCTTGGCTGCAAGCAGAGAATACCAGAAAGATGTTTATCTGTGCTTTATTGACTATGCAAAGGCTTTTGACTGTGCAGCTCAATGATGAACTATGGACAACATTGCAGACTATAGGTATTCTAGAACACTTGACTGTGGCTCATGAGGAGCCTGTACACAGACCAAGAGGCAGTAGTTAGAACATAACAAGGGGGCACTGAGTGTTTTAAAATCAGGAAAGGTTGTATTCTTTCACTGCCAGAAAACCAAACCAATCTGTGTTAGAAGAAGTACAACCAAGATACTCCTTAGAAATCAAAGACAGATGGCAAAACTCTGTCTCTCATACTCTGGACTTACTACCAGGATGGATCATTCCCTGGAGAACGACATCATGCTTGGTAAAGTGGAGGGTCAGCAAAAAGGAAGAAGACCCCCAACCAGATGGACTGGCACAGTGGCAGCAGCAATGGGATCAAGCTTAATGATTTTGAGGATGGCGCAGGGCTAGGCAGTGTTTCATTCTGTTGTACATACGTTGTTATGAGTCAGGAGTGATTTGATGACTCCAAACAATAAGAATAATACTTACAAGCCTCTAGCACAATGCCTACCACATAATAAATACTCATTAGTGATACTTAATACCAGTCCAGAGGTACTGACATTGTTCAACCTACATTTTTGTTGTACATAATCCTTAAAAGAAATAACTTGGGGGGAAAATTAAAAAAAAAAAAAAAAAATTCCTGTGTATTACTGGAGTCCAGGTGTGACATTGTAGGATAAGCACTGGATTGATAACTGCAAGTTCGACAGTTCAAGCCCACCAGCCTCTACTTGGAAACCTTATACAGAATCTCTAAGAGTCAGAATTGACTCAACAGCACTTAACAGCACAACAACATATATTGCTAATAATGTATCAGACAATACTAAGCACATTATATATATTAACTTGTTTAATCCTTATAGTGCTTTCCTATGAGGCAGGTATTGCTACTTTCCCCATTTTACCCAGGATGAGATAATTTTAGGGGCTTGCCTTAGATCAGACAGCTATAAGTAGCAGGGTTGGGATTTGAACCCTGGTAGTCTGGCTCCAAGGAGCTCTGGTAGCGTAGTAGTTACAAGTCGGGCTGATAATCTCAAGGTCAGCAGTTCAAAACTACCAGTTGTTCTGTGGGAGAAAGATGAGGCTTTCTGCTCCCATAAAGATTTACATCCTTGGAAATCCTATATAGAGTGGCTATGAGTTGGAACCGACTCCGCAGTACATAACCACCACCACCAGTCTGGTTCCAGGAGGAGTCTTGGTGGTGTAGTGGGTTATACACTGTGTTGTTAAATACAAGTTTGGCAGTTCAAATCCACCACCCATTAGCGTGAGAAAGATGAAGCTTTCTGCATCAGTCAATACTCACACCCTTGAAAACTCTATACAGGGTTGTTATGAGTTGGAACTGACTTGACAGCACACACCAACACAAAAACAGCTTGGCTCAAGAGAATTATGCTTCTAACTAACATGATATATTATAGTCGGTATACTACCCCTACAAAGGACTCCTGGCATAGTGCCAAATGATAAGCACTCTACCTCAAGGTTGGCTTGAACCACAAGGTCGGCAGTTCACATAGGAAACCCTACATAGGATCGTTATGAGTCAGAACAGACTCGACGACACTTAACAACAACACTTACAATGGATACGTAGGAATAATAGTTTCTTCTTGTTCTTAATTGTTGTCAAGTTGATTGTGACTCATGGTGACCCATGTGTCTAGAGTAGAACTCTTCCGTAGGGTTTTAAGGCTGTGGCCTTTGGAAGTAGACTGAGGCTTGGCTTCTGAGCCATCTCTGGGTGGATCTGACTGCTAACTTTTTAGCCAGTAGTCAAGCATTTAAAACCATTTGTATCACCCACAGATTCCAGTATAAGTCGTGTATTATATGGAAATTTCTGTGCATTATCTTTAAGAATTCTTCCTGTTATCCCAGAAAATACATCAGTAAGCGAAAGCTGGACAGTGAATAAGGAAGACCGTAGAAGAATTGATGCTTTTGAGTTATGGTATTGGAGGATAATATTGAAAGTGCCATAGGCTGCAGAAAGAACCAAAAGATCTGTGTTGGAAGAAGTGCAGCTTGAGTGCTCCTTGGAGGCCAAGATGGCCAAACTTTGTTTCTCATAATTCAGACATATTGTCAGGAGGGACCAGTCGCTGGAGAAGGATATTATGTTTGATAAGGTGGAGGGTCGGAGATGAAGAGGAAGACCCCCAGCGAGATGGACTGGTATGGTGGCAGCATCAACAGGCTCAAGCATGGCAACAATTGTGAGGTTGGCCCAGGACTGGGGCAGTGTTTCATTCTGTTGTGCATAGGGTTGCTATGAGTCAGTGCCGATTCAATGGCACGTCGCAACAACAATATACATCAGTATTTAGACTCACAGAGTGTCTGGGTGGTACAAACAGTAAATGCATTTGGCTGCTAACCAAAAAGTTGACAGTTGAGTCAACCTAGAGATGCCTTGGAAGAAAGACCTGGAGATGTACATCTAAAAAACTAACAATTACAAACCCTATGGAGCACAGGTCTACTCTGACACACATGGGGTCGTCTTGAGTTACAACTGACTCAAAAACAGTTGGTAATTAGATGCATATTAGTTAAACATCTTATCTAAGGCCATGTGTTGTTGTTGTTAAGTACCATGGAGTCAGTTCCGACTCATAGTGACCCTGCACAGGGTTTCCGAGGCTATAAATCTTTACAGGAGCAGAATGCCTCATCTTTCTCGCACGGAACAGCTGGTAGTTTCAAACTGCTGATCTTGCGGTTCACAGCCCGATTCATAACCACTACACTACCAGAGCTCCTTGTCTAAGGCCATACAACTAATAAATAAAAGTACTTGAGCTTATATGTAACACGAGTATATTTTCTGAAGCTTGAAATCTTTCCCCTACATCATAAGAGCAGATTCTGATCAAAGACAAATTGGTTTTATTTTTTTTCCAGTGATAAATAGGAACCTTACAATGGACCTCAGTCCAGCCATAGACAACACAGACTCTATCATACTGTCATTTATTCATCCAGTCAACAAACCTTAACGGAGCATTTTCTATGAATTAGACTGAAGGCTAGATATTGAGGATTTAGTGATAAACACAAACAATGTCTTAATCTGAGTTCACCTGAGAAGATGGCTTAAAAAAGGCACAGTGATAACTTCTGGAAGGATGATTTACAGTTTGCAAGTGGTTTAGAACTGACAACCTCATGGGGATTCAATAGTAACTAAACAAAAGCCCTATCTAAGATTATTTGCTGGCATACTATTCTGAGGTACTTATTAGGTATCCATGTGTAGCTATAAGAACCTATACGACTTAACTCTTCTTCAGGCGGAGAGACAGTGGTTTTGAGGAATTCTAATCTTAATGTGTCTTCTACTCTATGAAGATGAGAGAAGGAACCTAGGCTCCCCAGGTATCTTAGGCTTGCATCTGAGCACAATAACAAAAGAATATGTGACAATAACTTCCTGATACAGAGATGACTAAAAACAGTTTCTGCTCTTGAGCTGATCTAATTTTTTAAGAATCTTGGGATCATGCATAAACAAAATTTCCCTAATCTTACTTCCAGGGATATCCCAGAAATGTTTATGTATTGTCAAAGTGAGCATGATATCCCAGAAATGGATTAAATTTTTGTACCAAGGATGGAACTTATTTTCTGAGAAGTACTTTTTCTTTACCAAAGCAGATAGTTAGCCAAGTGGAAACTCGAATCATTTTTCAAGTAACAGAGGATTGTCAGCTAAATCTATTCGGGTACAACAGAAAAACCGAACCCAAAGAGAATTTTATGTCCTGGTATAGTGAATTTGATCTTGACTTGCCCGTGACTCATATGAACTCTACAGTGTACATTCATATTTCCTCTCCAGTGCTCACAAGTTTTACTTTTACCTTTTGGAGACTAGGATTATTCGAGAGAAACACTTCTGACATGATGGATATATAAAACTTGAATTCTGGAGAGCAAGTACAGAGGCAAGAAGAAATTTTCTTCTACTCATGTGTTCACACTGTGGCCTATAAAACAAAATAGGCATTAGGATGAATGAAAATTCCTTAATTGTATGTACATATTCATTTTTTAGGAATATCAATTAATCTCCACTGTAAAGCCAAGAGATTTCTTTTGCTTTACTTTCAAAATGAAGGTAGGAAGTGTCAGCATATTAGAAGATTAATTTTCTTTTTTACTTAATTAAAAGTGCTAATAATAATATTTAAAACAAAGTAGCTCAAGAAAATATTCTGTTTCTACAGAACATGCTTTTAGCATTAGTAGGAAGGAAATCATATAAACTTATATTAATCTTTTAGACATCTTAAATTGTTGAAAAGTGCTAATAATAATATTTAAAACAAAGTAGCTCAAGAAAATATTCTGTTTCTACAGAACATGTTTTTAGCATTAGTAGGAAGGAAATCATATAAACTTATATTAATCTTTTAGACATCTTAAATTGTTGGAAAAGTTTCTTTTTAGTTGACAACATTTTTATTAAGGTTTTAGAGTGCACATTTCTACACAACTTGAGGAGAAACATAAAAGACAATTCAGATTTTGTAAACAGAAAAAACATAATGTGAAAAGGTCAAAGGAGAGCTTATAGTGTCTGAAACACATCAGAAAAGTAAATCAATAAAGGAGTAATATCTTTTTAAAGTTTTCTTTTTTGAAATTCAAATATTGCTTTGTTTATCCCCCAAACTGAAATGGATTAGGTTATGTACAGTATAAGATAAATGTTCTGAAGTAAAGATCTCTGCATATGTTCAACATGAAAATATATCATAAACATTCCTTTGCAAACACATGGTAAAGGTGACCAATTTCTGCCAAAGTGAAAATCATCAGTTTAAAACATGATAATATAATCTTTTAAGTATAGCTTTTCATAAGGACAACCATAACATAAGGATTATCATACAGAAATGTGTTGACTATCAAAAGGAAGATCTCAATGTTATACTAACCTATCTATCAATCAAAATAATATTTCTTTAAAAATAAAATACGGTCACCTTAGGCAATAGAAGGGAACTTGCAAAGATGAAAGATAAATAATTTATATGTGTGGATATCTTTTTGTGGAGTCCTGGTGTGGTGCTGTGGGTTAATGCACCAGACTGCAAAGCCGTTTGAACTGCAGGGTCGGCAGTTCAAGTTCACCAGCTGCTTCTCGGAAACCCTATACAGGATCACAATGGGTCAGAACCGACTCGATGGCAGTTCACAACAACATATCTTTATGTATGTATGTATTTATATATCACTGATTTATGCGCAGAAAAGACTAAACCTAATTTTGTCTTGCTAGTTAGTTGTATGAGTTGGAATTAATTCGATGGCAGTCGATTTAAAGTGTGGTGCTGTAGGATCAGCATTAGACAGCAAACCACAAGGCAGTTATTTCAAAGCCACCAGCTGCTTCTTGGAAACCCTATACAGGGTCACTATGACTGGGAGTCAACTCGACGGCACTAAACAACACTGTATTCCTAAATTTGGTTGTCACCTTATGCTACAGAGTGGTTTTCAAGGACAAGGTAGAATAGGTGATTTGGCTACAAGGGGAAGGCGGAAAAAGAGTCACATAAAACAGCCATCATCAGTGCTATTAATTTCAACTTTTAGCAAATGCAACTAATGATAGAAGGGATGTCAACAAAGGCATTTTCCTTCTAAAGTCTTCTCTAAACTCCAGCGTGGGGTGGGGTAGAACATGGAGGATATACCCACTTATGAGCTAATCACAAGCTCTCTCTTAAAAGTGCTCAATCTCCCTCTTGAAAATGTTATGTCTCATCTGCTTTAAAATCCTTCAATTTAGAATGAAACCTCAACTCCCTACAAAAACTTGCGAAGCCCTATGTGTTCCGGTCCTGGTCCACCTCTCGGACCTCACCACCTTGTACCACTCTCCTTGTTTAGTAACTACACTTCAGCCATGATGGCTGCCTTCTGCTCTCCTTAAGTACACCAAAGGATTTCTCTCCTCAGGACTTTTGTGCTTACTGTTCTCTCTTAGTTCTGTGAATCACTGGTTCTTTTGTCACTCTTTAGTCTTTAACTCATATGTGACCCCGTCAAGAGCTCCACTTTATCTCAAGCAAACACCTCATCCTCTTAGATTTCAGAACTTCATTTATTTTATTCCTTCACAGTATCTAGGATGGTAATCATTTATTTATCTGCCTATTGGCTTGTACATGGGGGCTTTATTTCACTATTTTTTAAACTTGTCATTATCACATTATATTAAATATATCTTTAATATGTCTTTTTCCAGAGCCAGAGTAAAGATCTCAGAAGAACCATCTTTTTATATTCCCAAATTTAGCACCTGTCAATCTGAACTTCAGTTCTTAACTTTCTTCTACATTTGCAGTACCCTTCTTCTTTAGTGATAGTTTTGTCATAGACGAGGACGTTTCAAAAAGTTTGTGAAAAACTGAAATAAAAAGATAATGGAATTTTTCCATTAACTTTTTAAAGCCCCCTTATAGTATTAAATATAAAACACCATTTTACTGAATCCTAAAATAATTTTGATTGCATATACATAAGAGTGCACAGAGTGTTTTCATTTATAGTACAGCCCTATGTATTGTATCTACTGCCATTTTTTCTCTTAACTCTGGTGCTGTAGGACAAGAACTGGACTGGTCATCAAAAACTTGGCAGTTCAAATCCACCAAGCAGTCCTCGGAAACTCTATGTACGGTTATGAGTTGGAACTGACTCGATGGTACACAAGTGATCATACTGTAAAGTTCTAACATAGAAATTTACATTTTGCCATTCATATACAGATAGTCAACAAAGTATATTCTTTACACAATTGTTACAAATTCAAACTTTAGGACTTGGATTAAACAGGCACCATCGCTAGTATGCTATGCTAGTTTTGTGGGAGAAACAATAACAAATAAAAGACATTTTGTCTAATCTATCATATAAGTCACCAATATATGAAAAAGTAAATATTCAGAAAAACTGATTAATTTCTAAATTAACTGTAAATATTAAATGTTAGCGTAGTAGTTACGAACCGGGCTGCGAACCACAAGATCAGCAGTTCAAAACTACCAGCTTCCGCGGGAGAAAAGATGAGGCTTTCTGCTCTCGTAAAGATTTCCAGCCTCGGAAGCCCTGTACAGGGTCGCTATGGGTCGGAACCGACTCCACGGCACATAACCACCACTTAACAACAACAAGAACCATAGTTTTAAAGGAGCTCTGGTAGCGTGGTGGTTACGAATCGGGCTGCTAACCTCAAGGTTGGCAGTTCGAAATTACCAGCCGTTTGGCAGGAGAAAGATGAGACTTTCTGCTCCCGTAAAGATTTATAGCCTTGGAAACCATGTACAGGGTCGCTAAGAGTAGGAACCGACTCCATGGCAGATAACCACCACCACCATAGTTTTAAAGAAAGGGTGGTTAAATTGTTGTTATATAAGGTTTTATTGCCCTCTAGTGGTACTTATCAGTATGTCTAAAACACTGTTTGATTTACTGGCAATTCAGAACTAAAATGAAAAAGGTCAATAAGCAATTTTTACAATGTGTGTTTTGGTGGATAAAAGCACAACAGGGCTTTCCTGGGCAGTCACTGTTAGTTATGCCCTTTGCTGTTTTCACAGCACTTCCTTCAGGATGCTTGTCTTGTCTCTTTTTTTCTACCATTTATTTGATTCATAGTGTGGTGAATTCATGTTTGATGAGTAACTAAATGAAGAGCCAAGAATAAGTAAACATTAGGTTAGGAAACATGACCTGGAAACAATTTCAGATGTGGCATCTTTTGGAATCTTTTCACTTTAATTGGGAAGGATGGTGATATTAAATCTTTCAGCTCAAATTAAAGGCAACACAGAAGTGCAAATATATTTTCTTATTCATTAGTTATTATTGTGCATTTGGTAAATGCTAGCGGATGGGCAAAATAGAAATGTTTCTTTCTAGTCACCTGATCTTTTTTTTTTTGAGACAGATAAATGGTGATATTAAAAGTGACTATTTTATATCTAAAAGTATTTTTCAAATGTTATTACTTAAATAATTATAAAAATCAATAAAGGGTACTCTTTGGATGAGAACCACTAACAGCACACAACCTGAGACTAATACACATGACAACACCACCCACAACTCAATCCAGATATATGAGCAGCCAAGGTAAAATGAACTTTAGATCATTATCCAAAAATCAGTTGTATTTCTTTAAACTGATACAGAGACCTCTGAAAAGGAAACTAGGAAAACAATTCCATTTACAATAACCACCCAAAAGATGAAAAATACTTAGGAAAAAAATCTAACCTGAGAAAATAAAGGAGCTGTGGCGCTGCAGGTTAAAGCGCTGGACAGCATAGAGTCGTTTGAACCACAGTGTCGGCAGTTCAAGCTCACCAGTTGCTCCTCAGAAATCCTGTACAGGGTTGCTATGGGCTAGAACCAACTTGATGGCACTTAACAACAACAACTTTATACAGTTGTATCATCTGCATATTGCAGGTTTTCCTCCAATCTTGACGCCACACTCTTTTTCATATAATCCAGCATCTCGGATTATTTGCTCAGCAGACAGACTGAATAGCATGATGAAAGAAACAGCCCTGGCACACACCTTTCCTGATTTTAAACCATTCAGTATCTCTTAGTTCTGTTTAACCACTGCCTCTTGGTCTATGTACATGTTCCTTATGAGCACAATCAAGTGTTCTGGAATACCCATTCTTTGCAATGTTATCCATACCTTGTCATGATACACACAGCTGAAAGCCTTTGCATAGTCAATAAAGAACAAACAAACATCTTTCCGGTATTATCTGCTTTCAGCCAAGATCTACCAGACATCAGCAATGATATCCCTAGTTCCATATCTTCTTCTGAATTAGGCTTGAGTTTCTGGCAGTTACCTGTTGATGTACTGTTGCAGCCATTTCTAAATTATCTTCAACAAAAATGTATTTACATGTGATAATAATGAAATTGTTTGATGATTTCTACATTCTGT